AATAATGGGCCAATATGTATCAGGAGTAGTTGGTTTGTGCAACGACCACCCTCATAACCCCATCTACCGACAACATGCGTCGCTTGCCTCGGGAAGACGAAATGATGCCGAGTGAACCAATGGGTCCATTCGTCGTAGCCCGCCTGCCTGCCCGGTCGCGCGGGCCTAGCAAACGCATGACCTGGTTCACCCAGGATTCCATCTCCCCTATGAGCACAACTCCATGACCTGTCGCGAGCATGGTCCCGACCTGCCAATTTGAGAACCTGTTCTATGCATAGCTCCGACCTGCTCCCACCTCAACCTCTCCCCTAGGTTTCCGAAGCCAAGGTTGAGGCCTCCATGGCCCCACCATCGCGACGATGTAGAACTGGGGCAGGGGGCAAGGCATCCCTTTGGCCGTCCATTGGTGCGACCCCGGCCGGCTACTAACGCAAGATCGAGATGACGCCACCACAGGACTCACCTCCTCAAGAGACCCAACGACGCCTCTTGGCACAATCAACACTCCCTTTTTATACGAAGCTGAAGCCCTTAGCCCAAACCTTCACCTTAGCCTCGGGATTGGGGGGAAATGATGTAGGCGCATTCCACTAGGCCAATAATGGGCCTACATGTACTAGGAGGCAAAGCTCAGAGTAGAGCCAATCAGGGCGCACACAGAGCCGACCTCGGCACCTCGCACGGAACCAATTAGACCTCGGCACCTGGTAGGCCTCACAGAGCCAATCGTGTGGCGTCACATGGTGCCCTCTGATGATTGCGCACCTCGGTACAGACTGCATCTAGACCGTCCAAGGTTACGCATCTCCAGGTGTCTTCAAGTATAAATAGGAGATGACCCCCACAAGGTAAAGGATCGAGAACTCGAGAACTCCCAAGCCTTTCTATTGCTTTCTAAGATCTCCTGCTCTTTAATGGCCTCGTCTTAGGTGCTCGCACCCAAGACCTCGTCCACCTTCTGCCTCCTGTTACTAACTTAACCGTCGGAGTCTCCGCCTTGGGTGCCAACCCGGGGCCTCTGACATGCTCTCTCACTTCACATGATCGATTTACTCGCCCCCAAACACCTCGGCTTCGGGCAGCCCACACCTCGGCTGGACACCTTAGCTTAGGAGCGAATTGATAGTGTTGACCTTGGCCAATCTAAGCATCAACAATTTCTTTTATTAAAAAATTTATACACTTAGGTTGTGTTTGCTTGGTATAGGTTTCTACACCTTTCCCTATCTTTTAGTTCAAACCAAATATAGCTTTAATATCTCAAATTCTCTCCTAGTTTTGATCAATTGATCTTATCAACTTGAAATTATCAATAGAGGAGAGTTCCCCCTCTATTTATAGACTGAATATGCCCTTAAAATTCAGTTAGAAGAGACTTGAGGGTCCATTTGGTTTCTCAGAATAGGTGCTTGTAGTTGTTTGGTAGGAATGGGATTCCAATTCCCATTCTTGGGGGAATGGCTATTCCAGCATCCCCCTCCCCCGAATGGGATTCCCATTCCTGTCAAGAAGCAAAAACCCTCAAAACCTTAATATTAATAAAGTAATAAAACATTAACAAAAACATTGTACAATAGTAATAAAATAATAGCATTATAAAAAATATTAATAAATTAATAATAAAAAACAAAGATAATAATAATAACAGAGCATAAATAAAATATTAATACAATATAATAATAAATTATTAATACAATATAATTAAAGAACTAAATTAATAATAACAATAATAAAATGTTAATAATAATAAATTAAAAATAAAAAGCAAAGATATTATTTATTAAATATTACTAATACATTAATCATTAAATAATAATAATAACTTATTTATAAAATATATTAATAAAAATATTATTATTAATAATAAAATAATAGTATATTTATAAAATATTCATAAATTAATGATAAATACTAAGGCATTAATTATTAAATACTAATAAAATAATAAATAGACTAATACAAAATTGAAAAATTTCAGTTGATTCTAATTCCAACTCCAAATGAACCAAACAACAACAATTGAAATCCAATTTCGACTCCCGACCGAACCAAACAAGCATTAGGAATAGGCGACTTTGATTCCAATTCTGATCCTATCTATGAACCAAGTGGACCCTAAGACGTATTCCAATCTTAATTCAGCTGAAATAAAGAATAGACATTATTTCACATATATATGCTTCTAAAAAGTGGAAATGGACCATAAGTGTTTCCAAGATCATACTTGACTGAAATATCCCAAAGTATAAAAATTTTATGTAGTTGCTTCTTAATAAAAATCTTCCATAAAAAATGCTGATTTCTAGAGGTTTTAATATTGATGGGTCATGTAGTGTGTGTGATAAGGTTGAGGACATTGATCACATTTTTATAAACTGCCCCTTGGCCAGGCAAGTGACCACTCAAGATTCTTTGAACTTGCCCATTAATTCTAATGTCTTGATTTTGGAATGGTGAAAATTCCTAATTAGTAACAGAGTTGGAATGCTAAATAACCCTTTCAGTAGAGAGAAATTCTCAATCTTTCTCTGGCAGTTATGGAAGAACCATAAAAATATGCCCCCCCCCCCCAATATTATTGACAAAGCCCGAAATTATTTTCTAAAAATTTGGTCTAACATGGATATTAATCCAGATTTTTGCAAAATGAAATCTTGTATCTTAGATGGATAAGCCCGGATTTAGATGCAATTAAGATAAATTTTGATGCCTCTTGCATCAATGGATCCTGTACAATTGCTTGTGTGGCTAGAAATCACTTGGGCCAAATCCTTGATTTTAAGACATATAACATTGGCTCTATTACCATCAATTTGACTGAAGCATGGACTGCTTGGAAAGCCCACAATGTAGCTCTCAATTTCAACAAAAATATTACTATTGAGGGTGATTCTAAATTGGTAATTAACCTTTGAGAATAAAATCGATCATTGAGGATTAAACGTCTGCTCGTGAGGTTGGTTAATGAGGTGGAGTATCGTCATACCTATCAAGAAGGCAACATAGAAGCGTTCTAGTTAGCTAACTATGCGCACTCAAAATCTGTAAATGGTTCCTTCATTCCTAGGCCCTTCCTGTATACTTTACCGGGATTTATCAAAAAAAAAAAATTCAGGGTAGGAAACATAATTTGTAGTACTACTTTAGTTCTTTTTAATTGTAAAGGTTGAAGGTTGGGGGCACTGCAAACAAAAAACTCTGCACACACTGAAAGCATAGGAACCCTACCCTGCATTGGAAACATCTCCCCATGAAATGTCTATATACTTTGAACCTTTACTCATATTTAAAGCATCTTTCTCACAATTAAATTCTACTAATAAACTCTTACAACCCATAATTTTAAGGGCTAATTTCTTAAAGTACCCCTAAGGTTTAGGAAATTGATTAACTCTACCCTTACTGTTTAAATATTGTCTTAAAGTACCTTTTATTTTTCTGACAATTGTCTAAAACCTCTCCTCTGCCGTTAACTTTCTGTTACACTCTATCACATGTGACATCAGTTGACTGATATATTTTTAAAAATTCCTAAAATACCCCTTATCATCTTTTGCAATGATTTTTGGGTTCCAACAAACCCTAACCTGTTCAAATGATTGTGAGAGAACTTGATAGCAGCAGTCCTGTTAGCCCCCAAAAGACTAAAAATCTCTCTCTCTCTCTCTCTCTCTTAACTTTGTTCTTTATATCTCTTGTCTCATTCCAGAAATCCATGACCAAACTTGACACCAAGCTTCTTCTCCGGCGTTGGACCACCAATTCCAACTATTACACCATCCGGGAATAAGAAAAAGCAAAACCAAATATTAACTCTAAAGCCAAAATTACCAAACCTTGGTTTGCCACCGTATGCTTGACGACAATATGAGTTAGGTTTCTGCAAAGGCAAGCATAACCAGGACGATCTATTGCAAACACCAGAGTTGGAAAAGCCAACCCTTAAGCAGTCCAATGAACATGTTACCACTTAGCTCAACCACCGCTAACTAGGGTGGGCCTTGAAACAAAAGTTGCAAGAGGCCTAGATAACGAGATGGTTTTTATAACCTTCTCCACTAGATTGGAAGGTAGTTTAAGTAGAAAACTAGTGAGCTTATTGAAAGGTGGTTTGGGGGAGGCTTCTAGTTAGGGCATTGTGGGAAATGTCCAAAGAACTGAGAGATGTAAGTTGGTCAAAAAATCTACGTCTCTTCTCTGTAGCTTGTAGATTCTTAATTAATTTAAACAAGACCAAAAATCTATGTCTCTTCTCTATAGCTTATAGGTTCTTAATTTATTTAAACAAAATTGAGATTTGAGAGGGAGAGAGTGTTTTTCAATCCTTTTCTTTTCAAGGTCTAAAAATTATGTCTATGGTCAAGAATTGAATTTGGTGTAGCTTGACTACTTTGGAGAAGCTGGAAACATCTATTTCACTCGTCTGACCATTGGAGTCAATTGTCTGGTGCTGGAGAAGAAGTTTGAAGTCCATAGTTGGTTTTGGAAAGAGTACAAATACAAATATGTAGAGCGCAAAACCTTGTATTTTATATTATTTTGTATATATTTGCACTGTACATATTTGTATTTATACTCCTTCCAAACATCAGAGGGACCTGTTCTTATGCCATGATTGATGGGATTTGTATTAGGTAAGTTGTTTTATATTGAAACATCATGATTGTTTTATTTTGAAAATTTGAAAAATAATAGAAGATATATTTGACATTTTACTTCTTTCCGTCAATATTTAATGAGGATGACAATTCAGAAAACTTTAGATATTTAAAGACAATATATAAATAGTAAGAGTAAAGTTAATCAATTTCCTAAACCTTATGGGTACTTTACGAAATTTGCCCTAATTTTAATGGTAAAAACCAATATTTTTAAAACAACCCGAAAACAAAACTGGTTTTCCATTCGGATGCTAGCTCAACAATTCAACTAAGGTTGAAAGTATCAAACTATCAATACTTTGAATATGCCCGTATGGTTGAGTTAATATAGAAACATTGGTAAATAAATGGCAATAGATGATACTAAATACAATTATAGAAAACTGACGTATGGTTACATTAAATACATTGAAATTGTTTTCTATATTTTGGATGTTCATGAAAATAATTTTCTAATCAAATGAAAAATACTGTACAACATATAATCAAACACAAGTTATTTGCCTTCTTTTAATCATCTTTTCAAGGTTATCGGCAACCATCGCTGTTAAGTTTGGATCATCAAACCCGAGCTCTGCCCCAGATCTGCAGAAACGTGATGATAAAAAAAATAAAAAAAAAAAAAAAAAAGTTAGTGTAAACTTTAGTAGTGAACAACTATCTGATATTCCTTTTATACCCAAAGAAATCCAAACTAGGAACTCCAGTATTTCTCTTTTCATTGAGGAGCTTGTTTCTCAAATGGAAAACTAGGAAAACAAATGCAGAAACCAAAGCTCATTTTGCATACTTGGGATCAAGCACCAGCTTTTGGACTTCTTTGATGGCTGAACTGGCTGCATAGAGTGACATTTTTCCAACCTGCATTGGAAACACATTAGAAAATCCAGAAATTTATGCAGGAAACACCGCACTAATTGGTTATGAGAGTTCTTTGTCTGACCTCCAACATCTGAAGCTTCATTTCATGGTCGTTCGGAAGACTGCGGATCTCTTCAGCTAACCTTAAAGATTCACTCAAGCTTTCAGGAGATAAAAAGTCAAGGCCCAACTGAACTGAAGACTGCATGCATTACCAAGAGAATAAACAAACCATTAGTTGGTACATGTCCCACATACCATCTCTTTAATAGGCATATTCAGAGTCATGAAAACAAATATATACAACTTTCTACTAGGTTTGAGTTTTCATCAATTCATCCCATACCTAACCATAGGTACTAAGATCCTAATTTAAGACCACTCATGGCCATATTTAAAAGCTGATAACATCTCAGTGAGGTAACTTCTAAACAGGTGGATAACAAAGTACAGCTATGTAAATAATGATGTCAAGGTAAAACCTCCCAACAACGCAGTTGTCATTTTTTCAGACCCCTTGTATATAAAAAAGGATGTGAAAAGACCCAAAAACCAGTAATGGAAGCCCATGCACGCATAAAGGGATAGAAGAATTTTAACGATATCGTGGGAGGTACAAACATGTAAAGCATACGGATACATTCAGTAGAAAATAAGTCCGTATGTAATTATATACAGCATAGAGTTGGTCAACTTAAACATTTCTATTATTACTATATTAACTTGGGGACCATTGATTGGTGACTTGGTAAAAGTCTTGGGCTACCAAGCAAGGGAATGCAATTTTAAGGCTGTGTTTGTGATACAAACGCCAAACCAGGATATTTATATACCCCAGTTAGGATTTGTGAGCGTTTGTTTGACATACAAAAATGCAATGATTAAGAGGTCAAAAATGTTTTTTTCTGACATCTTTGTATCCTGAGGAGAGGGCATTGCTGTACCCATTTTTTGGATACAGATTTGTGCTCTTCTGATAATCGAAACAGGCTTATAGATTGGTGTGTTTGACCAAAAGTTCAAAGCAGTGGAGCATCGGTAGTTGGAGCATTTAATGTTAGCTCCCACGCTTTGCACCGATTTCAAACAAACAAGAATGGATTATACTGTGAACCCACTTTGCAGTCTTGAACCGAAAAGAGGGTATTTATGCAGAGTACATATTTGTGTTTGTATCACAACCAAATGCAGCCTTAGGGTCAAAGGGTGGCTACTTTGTGGAAGAAATGAGAATAAAGTCCATATCCAGTCCAGCCATCCAAGACCCCAGAAAGTTGGGACTTCGGACCAATATTACAATGGCCCTTTTCTATCAGTACCAACACTCCAAACAATTTTATTGGCCAGCAACATATTTAAGCTTTATCAAACTACCATAGACTATATTTGAGGATTGATGTTCAAGTAACGGTAACCTTAAAATTACTCAAATGATGAACAGAAAAAAGGACACAGATGGTCAAGCCTTGAAAAAAAAACTGCTAAACATTGACAATCATGTTTAAAAGTAGAAATAACAGCTAATAATCTATTGTACGCATAAGAAAAACACACTAAAGATCATCTATGGCAGCATATGTTGCTCTGGGACTGGATTTTCATTGTTGGCCACCAGATAACAATCCCCTCAAAAGCAAAACCATGCACTTGTAAGAAACCATTTTATCCAGGGCCAGCATTTCATAAAAGTCCATCAAAGAGGATCAAGGATTTCGATGAAAATTCTGGATTTTCATTGTTTGGTTTGAAAGAAAACGTAGGGGAAGGATGGAAAGGTAGGAAAACCCATACAAGATCTATAAAACTTTCCCTACCTTTCCTTTCCTTTCCCTGCTTTTTCCTTCAAACCAAACATACTGTAAGTGATTTCCAGAAATTGTCATCCTGGAATACCAAATATATTTACCAAGGGGTGGTTCGTTGGTATGTTAGCTGGTTCACTCCGGCATTGACGCGGAATCAGTTCCCACAACCACCAATTTGGGGGGGGGGGGGTTATTAGTGGTGTGTAGCACCAAATTACCAAAAGAAACAAAAAAGAAGAGAATACAAAATATATTCAGGACTCAGTGATCTATGTAACCAAAGTGTGAGAACAGAAGCAGGGACAAGTTAATATGCCAAAGTTGAGCTCCACTGGATCGTATATATATATATATGCTAGTATAATACACATACAAAGGTAAGTATGCTGTGTATGTATCCATGCATATTTATGCATGCCCTTGTGTACAGATTTAAAAAAAATAAAAATGAACTATAGATTTTAAGTCCATAAATAAGTGCATATTAAACTATACATCAATTTTAACTATGAATGGAAAACTACTTCAACAGATAGGATCTTCAAAGAGGGAGAGATGAATTAATAATAGTATTGGTATGAACGTGCATTTATTGTTTCTTTCATGACCCTTACATGATAGAGAACAAAATCTGGGCAGGAAGAAAGACTAAATGCATTTATACAGGCAGGGCCCCTTGTGGCAATGTAAATCTTCAAATTCTCCTAAAATCCATGCTTTAATATTTTCAAAAAGCAGTTTTACTCGCCTTTTCTAGGAAAGCATGAATCCATGTACTCTGAGCACAAATGCCACTCTCTATGCTTGGGTTGGGGTGCTAAGGTCATGACTCAAAAGTTGAAAGTAGTGCTTTTGGACATACTAGTAAATGTGCATGTGCATTGCAGATGGCAATTTCAGGTGAAGATGATGATAGTAACAATGATAATAATAATAATAATAATTTCATTGTCCTTATCAGAAACTATGCAACAAAGATGAGTAATAGAGGCATGGACCACATGGTGTAGTAGGGAGTGTGTTGCCTTTCAACCTATAGCTTTAAATCTTTTTACTTGTAGGTTATATCAATGTTTTCACACATGGTTGAACTGGACGGTCAAATCAACTGACTTGTCACTAGCCATATTTTTGGGTCTGTTGCACTCCAAACCATTGATTCGATCAACAACCTGATGACCTAACCAGTTAAAACCGCTAATTTGTTTGACCCAATAATCAATGGATCACAAATTAAAACTTGTATTAGAGACACACCGAATTTGAAATTTTCTACAAATTTTATGGAATTTTTCTATGTTTTCTAATTTTGCTGTTTAATTTATGATATCATAAGTTGTCTTTTTGACTTGGGCAGTTACTTACCACTCAGGAAATGTGGGTTCCAATCAGTTTTTTATTAGTATTCTCAACCAGTAGTTGAATTGTCTAGTGGACCATTCAACTGGTCACCCAATCAATTAACCATTGAACCATTTGACCCAGTTAGCAGGACTATGGCTTAGATATTAATTCTTTTTTCCTTTTATGTATTTCATTTCTATCATTAATAAAAATAATTCTTATTTATCACACTTCTTTTGAAATAGCTTTTCTAATATGAATATATAATAATGGAGATTTTCCCAATTCTTTTAGATATTTTTGTATTTTGTATTTTAACTGTTTTTAATTTTTTTATTATTTGATTATGACATCAAAGGTTCACTCATTTTATCTAGATAGTTGAATCACCAACAGACCACCTGGACAGAAAAACGGTTTCATTTCCAAGTCTTTTAAAAAACATTGTTTTTTACACTATTATTATGGGGTATAGAGTTAATTCGTGGGATAACCAAAAAAAAGAGTTAACTCATGGAATTTAATGGTGAGAAATAAATATACCTTAAATATAAACAGTAATGATTGAGAATAGGATTGAGAATAGGGGTATTTGAGTATTTCAGTCAAGAAAAAGCCCTTGAACACACAAGGTCTGCTCCCTATAGTGGTTATTAGACTGTTAATAAACTCTGAAGATTAGTAACATTGATCTTACCTGAAGATTCCTTACTTGGAAAGGGCATCCAGCAGGGATGAATACAGCCTCACCCACATACTGTTTGAATGTCCATGGCTCTATTCCTGAAGAAAAAAAAAATGAATGGCACTGTTTTTAAATAACATGACATATTATAAATATATGAAAAAGCATGACTTTTATTGATCATCTAAAAGGATACCAATTTGAAAAATCAGGTTAGGATGACAACTACTGCAGAAGGATCAGTATGTTGCTTACCAATAAAAAAAATAATCTATTGCTTGTTTTGCTTGATCATTTATAACAAGATAAAAACAGATGCAAAAGCTTTTTCATCCAACTTGGTCAAATATAATACTATGCATCAGATCTAAGTGAATCATTGTATAATTCATTGCCTATTGCCCATGTGTGATGATTAAAAAATGATTGCATGTGAGCATGTTAAAAAAACTCAGAGACCTTTCTAAACCTTCTAATGCCTAAGAAAAACATTTTCATGGAAGAGCAAAAACACTAATCCAATCCATTGAAATATAAGGACCATCTGCCATAAATTTCCTCGTAAGAAATACAACATGTGTGGTTATGATGATCTGATGAGAACAAACTTTTGCCTAGAACATCTCCTTGGTTGTACCTACCAAGAGAGCGTATTAAAATCCTGAAGAAACCGGACAGCTGAACAGCTCCAATTGTGGACCCATGGTGAAGGCCAGAAACTTTGACATGTTCAGACACCTCTCAAGGGGAAAGGTGGAAAACAAAAAGGACGCTATTTGAAATGTTAAAAGCATTTGGACTGTCCGGCAAACCAGTCCAGAGTCCAGTAGATGAAATGGATTTCTTTTAGAAAGAGATATGATCGTGGAAGTATCAACAAGGTTACTTGCTTATCAAGAATATTCAGTATATTAAAACTCTTGCACTGTAGTTAGTCTAAAAGAAATGAAGTAAATATACTATTTACATTGAGAACTAAATATTTCAATTCCCTTAATGCTTCTCTCACTAATAGTGATTTCAGAACAATAGTGTGAGGATAATGAACCTTAGAATAGCTACTCTAGTTGAACACTCTTTCTCCAACCCAAAAATACAGAAAATGAGATCACCTTCTAAGGACTTGTTCTATATGACTAGCCTATGATATCATGTATGAGATATATCCCCCATACTTGTAGAAAGGTGTTAAACAACACGTTCGCACAATCAATTATAGTTTATAGATACACAATGGATGCATATTTGGCATTACTAATAGACCCCAAAACCTCTCTCCAACAAGTATAACAGACTTGAAAACAAGAATTTAACCACTTCAACCTCCCACCACCCATCACCACCTTTTTGCTTTTTGATGGATAGCTACACTTTGTTAGATTGTAAAAAGAATCAGCATATACATAGATGCTTACACATGCCCAAGGAGCCAGCTTTGCTCCCTCCCCACCATAATTCCACCAATTAATATAACATTTTACATCATTGATTCCCTAAAAGACCCCAAAACACCTCTCTTCCGTCTACCCATTGTTTTTCCAGTGCATCTGTGAAGCAATTGAATGATCAAAACACTTGTAACTCTACCAATTCTTCCCTCATTAGCCCTATTATTAAATTCATTATGTTCCTGTATGTCCACAGGGCCAGATTCTTGCACCATTGAATCATCCACACCTTTGAATACCCTTTTATTATCAAATTTCTTAGATTGCAGCCTTTGGCCACCATAAGCCCTTGTTCTGCTGCTTATGCATCCAAAAAAAAACACTTGTGCAGCTGCTGTGATTTCTGCTCGTATAGAATTGCCTTAGACTAATTAGTCCTGAGTAGATGGCCATATTCCCATAAGAATCCTTGAATTCTCCTCCTATGGCTGGACCTGGATTGCCTCTGCCATAACCATCAAAGTTCATCTTAATCCTACTCTCTGCAGAAGGAGACCATGTGGCTGATATGACATGTCTTACTGTAGAAGAATTTGCCACCCAAGTCCATCCACTAATGATCTCAGTAGAAAAGGAATCAAAATGTCTCAAAGTTTTAACCCAATGTGCCACACACCCTAACTGAGATACAATCAATAATAGCATTTTTGGATCTTACTCTATCATTAAATAATCTGTTATTTTCTCTCTTCCCAAATTGCCCATAGGATTGCTGCTCTTGTGCATCTCCAATAACTTTTGCCCTTCTTTCAAGGCTAAAGAAATTGGGTTGACAGAAACCCACTACATCAAATGGAGAAGCCCACCTACAACCTAATAAAGCAAAAACACACTCCCATATTCCAGTTGCAGAAGGATAGAAGATTAGCAAGTGGCAAGTTTTTCCACTTCAAATTTACTTAACAGGGAAGGTTTGGGGAATGGCAACATTAGTGTGTAAGGCAGCAAAAAAGGAGGTACAAGTGAAAGTACTGGACGAAGTTAGGGTCCAAATTCTACCATCAACCATTGACGAATCAAGAAAAACACCCTCCAAAAGATTGAGTTCTAAAGCAAACAGAACTTCAAAGTACCTCAATCCTCTTGAAAACTCAAAGCCCCAATTTAGCCCAATTGAAGAGAATGATACAAATTAAGAGATAGGCAAAGTTTTAATGGATGACAGGGAGTATAAATAAAGAGAACAATCTTTAAATGGCCTGTCTTGTGCCCATTGTAGTGTATTATTTTGTTTATTAAAGTTTACAAGACAACATTGTCTTGTAAACTTTAAGAGTGAAAACTACATAATAGAGTGAGTTCAAGCAAAATGTAAACTCAAAGAAGGTGCAAGTGATTTTAAATCAATAAATAAATAAATAATCTGTTATAGAAATAAAAACTAAAATTCAACTTCACATTTGAAAATAATTTCAAGCTGGTTCAAAGTGATAATCATGTCCATTAGGTGGCTACTACACATATCTATAATATTGTGCACTAACTTATGTTATAATACCATCTTGTGTATTGCACAAAGCGACGGTAGTTTTCACTTTTCACTAGGGAATTTGTCAATTCCAATAATACTTCATGCCAAGTGCCCATTGAAATAGAAATATTAGAAAATATACAAACCATGCCAACCAAAGGTCTTACAAATTTTGACTTTATTCCCAAAACAATGGTTATACCTTGTGTAATTCAAAGAAGAGCAAAAGACACCAACAATTTCCACAGGGAGTTTTACATTGCTCTTGAGGATAGTCCAAAACCTATATCCATTGGGACGAGTGTCATGACTGCTCCTTGTAGAGAACACTGATGTGGAACCCACTGCTGTGGTCCCCACTGTGTTCATATGGCAGCATAACATATCTTTTGTTAGTTATGTCAGTGTTAGTTGGTAGTTATTGGTAGTTATTTCAGTTTGTTGTTACAGTTTGTTATTTCAGCTTTATTATTAGTTTATTTGCCATGTAAGCAATAAGGGCAATTCAGCCCTTTTACAATTAGTCAACATATATAAATATTAAGAGTGGGTCGGCAGATCGATTGATCAACCCTCTCTCTCTTTTCTAAATCCCTTCGTGTGCTTCTTCTTTTCTCCCTCTCTTCTTCTTTTCTTCTGAAATTTCTCCTTTTTCTTTCGAATTCAAGACTGATTGTAGTCTTGATCGACTACATGGTATCAGAGCAAGGATTAGGGCTTCTCATGTGAGTCTGATCCAGCCAACCACATGAGAGTTGCCTAGGCCTGGAAGATTAAGAGGATCCTTTTTCGGCTGATTCTTGGAGGTTATCAGAGACTGTAGCAGCTGTCCAAAGAGTGGATTGTGTTCTTGATAATCAGGAAGAATCAGAGGAAGATTAAGAGTCCAAGATCAGTTTCTTTATCAAGACTGAAGGTGGCGATTAGAATTTCTGTTCAAAACCTAAAA